ATGAGGTGGCCCAAGTATTTGTGTTTCATCTTCACTATTTTATTTATTTGTTTAGAAAGCTTCTATGCCACCCCATTCGCCGAAGCCTCGGGGCAGCTCACAACAATAAATAAATAACAACAATATAAAAACAATATAATTTGAGGTGTCCTGGCCAAAGATGTAAAATAAATAAATAATGTTAGCAATTAAAATGACGTTTAAATAAAAAGGTCTTTGCCTGGCGCCGAAAAACAAATAACGACAGCGACAGGTGGACCTCTCTGGGAAGCGCATTCCATAGATTGGGCGCCACCGCAGAGAAGGCCCTCCTCCGAGTACTCACCCTCCTAATATCCTTTACGGAGGGTTTCCGGAGAAGGGACTCTCCCGCTGATCTCAAGGGGCGGGCGGGTACATATGAACATAAACCAGGACCCAAGCCGTTTAGGTAACCAGGACCCAAGCCATTTAGGGCTTTATAGGTCATAAACAACACCTTGAATTGGACCCGGACTTCAATGGGGAGCCAGTGAAGCTGACGGAGGACTGGAGTCATGTGAACATAATGCCCAGTCCCTGTCAGCAGCCTGGCAGCTCTATTTTGAACCAATTGAAGTATCCGGATTGTCTTCAAGGGCAGCCCCACGTAGAGCGTGTTACAGAAGTCAAGTCGGGAAGTCACCAACGCGTGTGTCACTGTCACCAGGCAGTCGTTCTCCAGGTAGGGACGCAGCTGATAGACCAGCCGAAGCTGAAAGAAAGTGCTCCTTGCCACTGCTGTCACCTGAGCTTCCAGTGAAAGCTCTGGGTTGAGGAGCACTCCCAAGCTGCAGACCTTGTCCATAAGAGGGAGTGCAACCCCATTCAGGACTAGGTCAAGGTCCCCTTCCCCGAAGCCCGATCCGCCAACCAACAGGACCTCCGTCTTGCCTGGACTAAGCTTCAGTTTATTGGCTCTCATCCAGCCCATTACCTCAGCCAGGCACCGGTTCAGCACAGCCACTGCCTCACCCGGATTGGTGGAGAACGAGAGGTAGAGCTGGGTATCATCAGCATACTGATGATTCCGCAGCCCACACCTCCTGATGACCTCTCCCAGCAGTTTCATGTAGATGTTAAATAGCAAAGGGGACAAAATGGATCCCTGCAGTATTCCATGGCATAGCTGCCATGGCGCAGAGCCATAGTCCCCCAGCATCACTATCTGGCCTTCTAAAGAGCAGTCAGGGTTGATCTCTTCCAGGACTGACCGGTTTGATCGCCTTGCGGTCCAGGGGACTCGCAGGAGTCTCCTCCAGCACCACAGTTCAAAGGCCTCAATCCTTTGGCGCTCAGCCTTCCTTATGGTCCAGCTTTCACAGCCATACATTGCAACTGGGAAAACCATAGCCTTGACTATACACACTTTTGTTGGCAGGGTGATGCCTCTGCTTTTTAGTATGCTGTCTAGATTTGCCATAACTTTCCTCCCCAGAAGCAAGCGTCTTTTAATTTCTTGGCTGCAGTCCCCATCTGCGGTGATCTTGAAGCCCAGGAAAATAAAATCTGTCAGTACCTCAATTTCTTCTCCATCTTTTTGCCAGGAAGTGAGAGGACCAGATGCCATGAGCTTAGTTTTCTTAATGCTGAGTTTCAAGCAACTTTTGCACTCTCCTCCTTCACCTGCATCAAGAGGCTCTTTAGTTCCTCTTCACTTTCTGCCGTTAGAGCGGTATCATCTGCATATCTGAGGTTTTTGATATTTCTCCCAGCAATCTTAATTCCAACTGGTGATTCATCTAGCCCCGCCTTTCTCATGATGTGCTCTGCATATAAGTTAAATAGGCAGAGCGACAGCATCCAGCCTTGCCAAACTCCTTTCTCAATTTTGAACCAATCATTGGTTCCGTGTCTGGTTCTCACTGTTGCTTCTTAACCCGCATATAGGTTTCTCAAGAGACAAATAAGATGGTCAGGTACTCCCATCTCTTTAAGAACTTGCCACAATTTGTTGTGATCCACACAATCAAAGGCTTTAGCATAGCCAATGAAGCAGTAGATGTTTTTCTGGAACTCCATAGCTTCCTCCATGATCCAGCGTATGTTGGCAATTTGATCTCTGGTTCCTCTGCCTCTTCGAAATCCTGCCTGTCCTTCTGGTAGTTCTCGGTCCACATACTGCTGGAGCCTAGCTTGTAGGATTTTGAGCATAACTTTGCTAGCATGTGAAATGAGTGCAATGGTGCGGTAGTTTGAACATTCTTTGGCATTGCCCTTCTTTGTGATCGGAATGTAAACTGACCTTTTCAATCCTGTGGCCACTGTTAAGTTTGCTGGCATATTGAGTGTAGCACTTTTACTGCATCGTCTTTTAAGATTTTGAATAGCTCAGCTGGAATGCTGTCACCTCCACTAGCTTTGTTGTTGCTCAGACTTCCTAAGGCCCATTTGACTTCACATTCTAGGATGTCTGGCTCGAGGTCAGTGACGACCCCATCGTGGTTATCAGGGACATTAAGCTCTTTCTTGTATAGTTCCTCTGTGTAATCTTGCCACCTCTTCTTAGTGTCTTCTGCCTCTGTTAGGTCCCTGCCATTTTGGTCCTTTATCATGCCCATCTTTGCATGGAATGTTCCCTTCATATCTCCAATTTTCTTGAAGAGATCTCTGGTCCTCCCTATTGTTTTCTATTTTTTTGCACTGTTCATTTAAGAAGGCATTCTTATCTCTTCTAGCTATTTTCTAGAGTTCTGCATTCAATTGGGTGTATCTTTCTCTTTCTCCCTTGCCTTTCACTTCCCTTCTTTCCTCAGCTATTTTTAAAGCTTCCTCAGACAGCCATTTTGCTTTCTTGCATTTCTTTTTCTTTGGGATGGTTTTAGTTGCTACCTCTTGTACAATGTTGCAAACCTCCGTCCATTGTTCTTCAGGCACTCTGTCTATCAGATCTAATTCCGTAAATCTATTTGTCACCTCTACTGTATATTCATCAGGAATATGATTTAGGTCATACCTGAGTGGCCTAGTGCTTTTCCCTACTTTCTTCAATTTAAGCCTAAATTTTGCAACCAGAAGCTCATGATCTGAGCCACAGTCAGCTCCTGGTCTATTTTTTACGGACTGTATAGAGCTTCTCCATCTTTGGCTGCAGAGCACATAGTCAATCTGATTTCTCTGTTGACCTTCTGGTGATGTCCGTGTGTAGAGTCGTCTCTTGGGTTGTTGGAAAAGAGTGTTTGCTATGACGATCGTATTCTCTTGACAAAATTCTACCAGCCTGTGCCCTGCGTCATTTTGTACTCCAAGGCCAAACTTGCCTGTTATTCCGGTTATCTTTTGGCTTCCTACTTTAGCATTCCAATCCCCCATGATGATAAGGACATCATTTTTTGGAGTTAATTCTAGAAGGTGTTGTAGGCCTTCACAGAACTGGTCAACTTCAGCTTCTTCAGCACCAGTGGTTGAGGCATAGACTTGGACTATTGTGTTGTTGAATGGTTTGCATTGGATTCGAACTGAGATCACTCTGTCATTTTGGAGATCGTATCCCAGTACTGCTTTTCCTACTCTTTTATTGACTATGAAAGCTACTCCATTTCTTCTGAGGGATTCTTGCCCGCAGTAGTATACCTGATGGTCATCTGAATTAAATCCACCCATTCCTGTCCATTTTAGTTCACTGATTCCTAAGATGTCTATGTTCAGTCTTGTCATCTCTTGTTCGACCACATCCAGCTTGCCTTGATTCATGGATCTCACATTCCAGGTTCCTATGGAGTACAGATCTTTGCAGCTTCGGACTTTCCTTTCACCACCAGATACATCTGCAACTGAGTGTCCTTTCAGCTTTGACCCAGTTGCTTCATTCTTTCTGGCGCTACTAGTACTAGCCCTCCGCTCTTCCCCAGTAGCATATTGGACACCGTCCGACCTGAGGGGCTCATCTTCCGGCGTCATATCTTTTTGCCTTTTGGTGCTGTCCATGGGGTTTTCATGGCAAGGGTACTGGAATGGGTTGCCATTTCCTTCTCAGTGGATCACGTTTTGTCAGAGCTCTCTGCTGTGACCTATCCATCTTGGGTGGCCCTGCATGGCATAGCTCATAGCTTCATTGAGCTACGCAAGCCCCTTCGCCATGACAAGGCAGTGATCCATGAAGGAGTCTAAGAATTTTATCCCCCTTCAAAGCAAAAAGACAGCTTTGTCTACAAATTGACTATTCTAGCAGTAGCCACCCTACTTCCAAAATACTTACTCAGGTGTTACTTGATTCAACATCTTCTACATTGTGGCTGCTGATTCTTTTCTTTCAGAAAATCATGCATGATGCTGTTGGTTTCAAGAGCTCTTTATCTGGGAAGAACTATACAATGGAGTGGTATGAACTCTTCCAGCTTGGGAATTGCACCTTCCCGCATCTTCGACCTAACATGTCTGCCCCCTTCTGGTGTAACCAAGGGGCTGCTTGTTTCTTTGAAGGAATAGATGATGCCCACTGGAAGGAGAATGGGACCTTGGTTCTGGTGACCACCATCTCAGGTAACGATTCAAGACTGCCATCAGCCTTGCCTGTTTCAGAAGTGATCACTGCATGCTAATGCTTTCAGGCATCTTATCCCGTTTACCAAAGTAAGAAATTTCATACCTGCCTTTAAACTGTCCCTGGACACCTACTCTTTTCTGAAGAACTTGGAAAATCTCCAGAGGGTATATGTTTACACCTGTCTTGTAAAATGATAGTAGTACTTCACATACTTCATTATACATGAAGTACTCAATGAAGTACTTCAATGAAAAGCTTTTCAGCTCAGTGAAAAGCTTTTCAAGTCCCGCTTGCGTTCATCCCGTATTCTTTCTATATCCCAGAATGGCACTCGATTCAACCATTTCTGCCTCGAAGGACAAAGCTAGCTACAATCTAAGCCGCAACTATTTGCATTCAGGACATCCCAGAATAATAGCATAGTCTCTCTTCTTCCTGTTGTGTGATTCTATTTTTCTTTCCTATACAGGAGCAATGTTTAATCAAATGGCAAAATGGGTGAGATATGATAATGACACTGGCATTTATTACGAGACATGGATGGTCAAAGACAGTCTGGATGAACATGCCAGAGTGTGGTTTGAGCCTTACGAATGCTCCAAGTTTGTTCTGAGGACGTACCAAAAGCTGGCTGAACTAGGGGCCATATTCAAGAAGATACAGACTAATTATACCACCATTACACTCTTCAGTGGGGAGCCCACTTGCTTTGGAAACGAAACATCTATATTTGGACCACAAGGAAACAAAACATTGGCTTTAGCCATTAGAGAATTTTACTCTCCATTCAAACCTTATCAGTCAGTCAAAGACTTCTTTATAAACCTGTTGAAGATATTTGATGAAGTGATTCTGAAGCATCACTTTTACCTCTTTTATAATCTGGAATATTGGTTTTTGCCCATGAAATATCCTTACATGAAAATAGCCTATGAGGAAGTCCCATTACCTAGTTCAAATGTCGCCATGATTGGCACTTAATTCTTTTAAAAAAAGATTTTTTTAAAGCCAGGCTATGCTGTTGCTTGCATTCTTCAAGCTAGCGTCTGTGAATTGGTCTCTACAAGTATTATCTTTTACATTATAAAACTGCTAATAAAGGTAAAATTCACATTTAAAAGCACTTTTCAAAGTTAAAATAAAATTTGCTTATGAATGTTTGTTCTTATAAATAGGTTTCCATACTTGGAAAAAGCAGCCCAAGGTTGCCCCCTGGCAATTCTTTCAGAGGAAATATCAAAATACCATTAGACCAAACATACTGCCACGATAATTATCTGTGGAAGTCGTTTTCTCCATGTAAACTGGGACCAACCATGAACTCTCTTTCTTGCTCTGATTAATATAACTGCACTTCTTGCACATTAGAATAATAGTGCACCTGATTTTGTCACCCATACCAGATTCTAGACCTGGCCATTGCTGGTTTCTTTTTTTAGCAGGAAAGAGCAGCAGGCTGAGGTTGCTTATGGAATTTGCTCTTGAAAATGCTACCACAGGGCTGAGGCAATTCTGTCCTTTGTTGTATTTCTTCCCAAGCTCCAATTTCTGAAATTGTAACTAACCTGAGTGCATTGGCAGGAACAAAGTGTACATATACAAGGAAAAAATGTTAAAAGGCCCTGCAAGTCCTGTTGGATTAGCACTGTGAATCCCAATTCCTTATACAGATACCGAAAGGATTTGTAACTCCCACTTTATTCCATGCCTGCTCAAAACAGCAACTTGCATTACCAAACATGAGAGAAAACAACTCTTTCCTAAGAAGGCCATTCTTGCAACAGATGTTTTCTAAGAGTAAATAATATGATCCATTTTGTCAGTTATCTGCATAAACAGAAATTAGCTAGAATGGCTTGAGTCTTGATTTTTGTACCAAAAAAAAAAAAAAATCAGAAGCAGTTAAGTATGCACTGACTCTTTTGCATATACAATACTGTGGAGCTTGGCAAATAAAATCAATCCTGGTTTAATTTTTCCTCAATATAGCTATCAAACATTTATTGTCTCTCGATTCAGTCCATGAGCCTTGTAGCACTGGCAGGCAGATGGCATGGCTCCTGCGGCAGCCAAGTCAGGGACGGTGATATCCACCTTTCATGATGCCTTCACAGCCTGTTCCCTTCAGATGTTTTAGACTTCACCCCCCACCCCCCCAAATCAACAGACAGCAAACCCAGCGGTCAGGAATGCTGGGAGAGGTTGTTCCAAAACATCAGACACCACCAGCCTGATGAAGGCTGCTGACTGCTTTTGTCCAGCCATGGATGCCTGAAGTAGGTAGCCAAGATTAGTTTTGCACTACTGCTAAGTTTGTGCCCCCCCCCTCCAGTTCCTGCAGACTTAAGGAGCAAATATCATTAATTCTGCCTTTGTTACTGACATCATTTTCATGGGCATTTATCTCAATAGGTCAACTGACCAGCATGTCAACCCCAGGAACCCAACTGTTTCCCCCTTTCAGCCAGAACAGCTTACCTCCAGTATTCGCAATAGTTTTCTTTTTCAAATAGAAGGGAACTTGCAAAGAACCAGTAACACAAAATTCTTAATAGAATTGTGACATTTCAGGAACGCCATAAAAAGCACAATTTTATTTATTACAATTTAAGATTCCACCTTATTCTCAGATGATCTCCAGGATAGCTTACAATAATACAAGAAATATTGCTCAGGATGGAACAGCTCACAGCTGAATTTCTGGCAGTGCAGCAGTTAACAGATGGGAGTATGTGGGTGTTAAAACCCCAGCCCAGCTCTCCTGTATTCCTTGTTGGCTTTACGGGGCCCACAAGAAACACACATGAAATACCCACAGAAGCATATAATCAAGTAGCCTCAGAAGTAACTGGCTTGGGGAGATGCTTTCCCTCACCCAGGAGCGACGAAACTCCACTTATCATTTTTTTGCTGGTAGGGCCATGAAATGTGGGGGCAAATCATTGTTAAAGCCTCTTTCATGTTCCTGGTGATCCTACCACTTGATCTATCAAAACAACTACATATCAAAAGGGCACATTCACATGAATCGAAACTTTAAAAAATACTGCAAACAAAAGGACATAACATTGTTTCTGTAAAAAAGGGGCTAAGTACAAAAAGGATATTACAGCAAATATTTGTATTAAATTCAAAGAAAAATTGCTTTTGCAGTTATTTTTCACTCACCAAGTTTTATAAAAACCATGTGTCTTTACATTCAGATGTCCAGCCCACTGAGCAAAATTTCTAAAGAATTATACACTTAAATAACTGATTGTCACTTTCACAGACAGTGTATTACTGTACACAGACAGTGATAATAATTAACACTTTTTCTAATTGGAAGAGAATCTTACAACCCAAATATAAATCTATTCACAAGGCAAATTTTTTCTGATAAAATTTCTAATAGATTGTGTGTGTTTGAAATTTATTGTTGTTGTTGTTGTTGTTGTTGTTGTTGTTACATTTCTATGCCGCCCCTTGCCGAAGCCTCGGGGCAGCTTAATTTTACTCCCTATTTTCTCCATGTTATCTCATGAACTACATGTTAAAACTCTGAGAATTATTGTGAAATACTCAGAAAAAAATACAAACACAAAGACAGCTGATAAATACTATTCACATAATTCACTAATTTTCTGGAGAAAACGGTGATTCATTTATTCAGTATCAATTTTACCAAAGCAAAGTTCCTCTTCCATTATCAAAGGTCTTTATCAAGTACTATAATACTCTATCATAAGACATTTGATATTTTCAAATGATTTGCAAACTACAAAGCTTTCTTTCTCATATTGTTCCACACTGAACTTGTGATAAACAATGGGATTTGTTTTCAAAGTAAGTTTTTCTTCTGCAGGTGAACAAGGGACAGGGTGCCATACTTTGAATTTCTTTAGCAAAGTTTTTGAAGTATTAAAGCATTTTCTTTAAAACAACAATTCCACAAACCAAATCCAAATACCACCATTCCTGTTATATCAGAATTTTTCTTGGAAACTGAAGGGACATAAAAAAAAAAACGGTTTGCCATGTAGCATGCCACCCCCCCCCCCGGACTCTTCAGTAAACAGAACTAAAGCCTGTTTCAAAGAACAGAACCTTTTGATCTTGAACATAATTAGGGAGATTTATGGTCCTTCTAAATCTTGGAATCCAAGAATCACATACAGTTTTCTGCATATGTAAGGGTTTTTTCAACAATGCTTTCTTTGCTGCAATGCTAAGAGAAAACTGCTGTTAAATCAGGAACCTTGCAGAACTAGCCAATAAGCTAGTTATACGCTAGAGCTACTGTATATTATATGCTAGAGCTTTTGTATTCTATTAGGCTTGAGTTGGCAGAAAGGAGAAAGACCGACTTTCCATGCATGCCTTGGCCAGAACTTCCTTCTCAACTTCAGATAGCAAAGACCCCAGTTGTCCAAACAGAACACTAGCAGCTTCCCACACCTTTCTTGCTACTTGCCCCTCTAGCAGCGGAAGCCTTTAAGCAACCATTACTTTTTTAGTATTTGTTTACATATATTCCACTTCCTTTACTGGAAAACAAACACAGCACTCATAAAAATAATGCTGTAAAAATTTGCCATGAGGAAAGGAAACAAAACACCAACATTCCTTTGGCAAGTCATCACCAAAATGCAGTCTATTTCTCCTGGGGTGTTTTAGCTTCCTGAGCCTTAGTAATACGTTAAGACAGAGTATGCATGTATTTTGGGGTGGTAAACAATGTATTTACATTTTAAAATTTATATAGATAAAAGAAAGGTTGGCAAACATAGTGCTAATAATGTACACACAACATTTTCTGGAACCATTTAATAAGCACTGAACAAATACTTACATTTTCTACATACAAATATAGTCAACTAGGTCACCATATTGCTCAGTATGATTTATCAAACCATATAATAGCCTACAGACTATTGTATGTTACCTTAAATTATGATTCTGTTGTCTAAGCACTTGACTGTTATACAACCCAGGTAAATCCAGGACTCTACAATAAAAGGGCTCTTTCTCCCTTCCAAATTTTATTTCAGTCAGTCACTTCAATCACAGTACTTGAATAAAAAGTATCAGGCTAAAATACTGTACTTCAACAGAGCAAAGTTTGAAATTATAGCATCTGAACAAGTCAACTCATGAGTTTCTACATTTAGGATCTGTGTCAACAGGAGAAAAGCAAACTATAAAAGGTTTTATATGGACAAAGCTTTCAGAATATTCTCAGTTCCTCTCCCCCCCCCCTCCCAAAACCTGGATTTTAGAAACCAATGCATCAATTCTCTAGGTCAGGAGTCCTCAAACATTTTCAGCAGAGGGCCAGTTGAAAGGTGCCAGTGCTAGCCATGGGCTGGAAAGGTGGTGCTGGCGGTGAGGGGGTGGGGGCGGTATGTGCAGGTGCGTGTGCTGAGGTGGGGGCGGGGCATGTGGCGAGGCGCGGGCGGGCAGGCGCACGAGGCGAGGGGAGGCAGGCGCACGAGGCAGCAGCTTGCTCGCTTGGAGATCATTTCTTTGAGCAAGCGAACTGCTGCCTCCCTGCGTGCGGGGCGAGGTGGGTGGTGGTGGGCAAGCATGGGCGCGGTGGGTCCAGATGGGCATGGCGGGCCAGATCTGGCCCCCAGGCCTTAGGTTGAGGACCCATGGTCTAGGTCCACTGTACAAGCTCTATAGTGTTAAATAAGCTTATATGATTAAGTTGCAACATGGTAAGCTCAAAATATAAGGTGCTGTTCCATATGCCCTGCCAACTATGGGAGATTTCACCATGTGGGCATCATGTCTGGAAACCAAACTCTGCCAAGATGTTTTGAGACCTCCCAGTGAATCTGCTCCAAACTGTACTTCTGGTCAGGAATCAAGACTTCTTCCATTATTGACAGCTGAGATAAGCGACCACCACACATCTTCACGAACTCCACAAAGGCACTGCAGGAGACTTCGCATTCTCCCAGACCAATAGCTGACAGATTCTTACAGCGCTCTGCAATGCGAATCAACTCCTCATCCAGTGGCCGTAATCCATTGGCACACACCACCAGTTCAACTAATCGAGGGCATGTCATTCCAACCCGGCCGAGTACATCTTTGCTGACCGACCGCCCAAAATACAGGTGAGTGACAGGCGTTTCATATCGGAAGAATGGATCAAACTCTTCTTCATATAAGAAAAAATACATGACTAAGTTCACTTTGGGAGAATGTCTGATGAAAGCATCCCAACTGCTTTTCTCAATTGTGTGGAAATGTGTCTGTCCAGGATTCTCACTAACTACGTCAATGCGCAAGTGTTCTAATCTGACATGTTTCTCAGAAGACAAAGCAAGGAGGAGCTCATCACTTAGCAGATGGTAATTCAGTGCCAACTCACGTAAACCGTGGCACTGATCCGCCACACAGAGGATACCTGAAGGAAAAAAATGAAATATCAGAATGTGAATTTACATCCAGCCTGTCACAGACAGACTGTTTCACATAACTGGAATATCTTTCTTAATCTCAATGATGAAAACTAAATACAAAAGGATTTTGGAAATAAAATTCATGTTATATAGGTCTCTTCACCTGAGTTAACAAAGTAACACGAATGCTAACACAGCAATTAATACTGTAAAATTTCTGTACCTCTCCCTAGCCTTTTTTCACTATATTGTAGTGATACACATACACAAATATTCACATATTTTCCCAAGCTCCACTATTAAACACAAAAACAAGTATAGAAAAGTATAGAAAGTTGAAGTTATTTAGAAAATAGATTTTCAAACACTGCATTTTTCCATTACCTAACACAAACACTGTATATTTTAAAAATGGAGGACTAATTCAATAAATGTTTTGCCAGGATACAGGTCATATGCTGTGGAAGAGATTAAATGGTATCTCCTAACATAATTTCAGCAAACTGTCAAGGTGATGCATATTGCTAACTGGGACAAGAAAGCAGTGAGCCAGTTTTTTCCATCCATTTTCAGCAAGAATGATCATTGGAAAGAGATGCTGCCATCTCTTAAGGTCTCTCCTCCACTTTTTTTTTTTTTTTTTTGAATGTAATCCAGCCAGCATGATTCTGGGACATGGTACAGCGTTTCTAACACACACACACACACACACACACACTTACTTATATACTGCCTTTTAAAAAAATGATGCTAATACTCATTAAATTGTTATCCTATCTTTCTATATTAGAAGGCAGTCAACAAAAATATGGCAAGATACAAAATAATTAAAACATAAAAGCAAATCAATTAAAATGCGGTATCTACATATTAAATTAGCAGGATCCACTAATCCTCTGCATAGCGTTTTCAGGTGTCCGGCAGGGGACGAGGGGACAAGGAAGCCTATTTCCTTCAGCCTAGCTGCATGTCCCGAAATCGAGATGCAACCCAGTACAGAAACAATATTACTGTAAACAGGAGGTGGTTGAGGCCCCATTGGTGAGAGTGTTCAAGGATAGGTTAGACATGCACATGGTGGGCATGTCATGAGCGGAGCTGGCTGGTGCCGGGGGGCAGACTAGATGGCCCGGGGGACCCCTTCTGACTCGTTCTGTTTCTATGTAACCATACAATTCAAATACAATTAAGTGTACCATGGGGAAAAGGCACATAATTCTGAGCTCTGTAAAGTAGCAGATACAGGCTAGTCTAGAAACACAGATACAGAGTTTTGGTTGTCTGTTTAGACAGACTAATTCAAGATAATCATACACATAATCATACACAGCAAGCTCACCTGCTGGAGAAACATGAGGACAACTGCTCATCTTTAATAGTTTTAGGGTATCACTGTTGTTAGCCACAAGTACCTTGAGAGATGGATCATCAACTGGTGTATCATCTATCTTAAGTGAAGAAAGGGATTTGGAGTTTACAAACACCACAGTCAACGCAGAAATAAAATGTGACTGCAGAAAGGAGAAAACAGTGAAATCAAGAAGTGAAAATTCAAAACCACATCATAGAATGCATTTATTCCATTAACTGTTTAATTGTTTGAGTAAGCAGCATCTTTTTGAATCCTTTCAGAAGAAGTACACAATGCTAGAACAGACTAGTTCAGTTTATCAATATTTATCAGAAGCCTTCAGTTCACCACCCATACAAAACAAGGTACAATTGCCTCCAGCAAACTTCTACAATGGACGTGTATACAATACAATAGCTGGCAGCTTGCAAGAAAGGTGAGACTGGATGCCTCAATTCTAGGTTTGATTGTTTATTTGGAGCATTTTTATCCCATTCTATACAAAAGTCTCGGGTTGTTGCTGAACCATGTGTTTTAAAAGATACGGAAAATAAATTTAAAAATGTGTAATAAACCTTTACTGCAAATCATCAGAAAATTGAAAACAGAATTGCAGTAGAAATGCCCCACAATTAGGATTGGCTCACCAGACAACTGACAAATCAAATACTGTCAACTGACCACCCATTCTTTGGTTGGGTCAAATATTCTCAGAAGTTTAGCACGAACAGAAGTAAGAGCAGCTTACACCTGTACCAGTCAAGGCAAACCTAGCAGTGCAACCAAGTTTTCTTACTGACTACCTGTTGTCAATGCAAACTGTTATTAGTGTCAAAGGCCACTGCCTAGTTTGCACTGTCAGCCTAGAACAGGAGACCAGGTTCAAATTTTCATTCACACACATGAAGTGATGTTAGGCCACTCAAAGATACTCAGGATTTATCAGTGGTATAGAATGGCTTTCTCCAAATGTCTGGAAAATTTTCAGATATATGTGATGCAGCCAATCCCATTTTTGACAGCAAGTCTTAAAATCACTAGTTGGTGAAACAGCCAAAATAACACAGTGATAACCGGGGTAAGTAACTGCCATCCTATAATTCATACCACTCAAATAAAATAAGCTACAAAGGAGTAAGATGTGCAAAATCCAGTTACTTTCTTTGATGTGAAAATGACTCTTCCAGTTTTCATGTATTGTAAACATGTGAAAAACACAAAAAGTGTGCACATGTGCACACACAAGGATCTGGGTCATGATATTTATGGAATCTCCTACAGCCTCATAAACCAAATATCAGATTTTAATAGAATCCTCAACCAGAGGTTTCCACAGCAGATTGAAAGTCTTTGTCTAAAAGACTGCTGAATGAGAACAGAAAACAAACATGTACTCAATAGTCAATAAATTACTAGAATCTCTCATTCAGTTAATTCAAGTAGTTAGATTCATTTTGTGTAACTTAAAAATAGTCCTCAGCAATGCTGCATGACTGATTAGGTAATTTCTAATTGAGGGCACTAGTTCAGGATAAGAAAATTTGTGATTAACTGAAACCCCGATTGGCTGATAGCTTGCTTATTTTAAGACATAAAGACAAAGAAGTGCTGCCGATAATTCTTGTTAGACTAACTTGTTTGAATGTGCAGAATATTTTATGCTTTCTAGTTTCTTCTATGTCCACAAGAATAAAATGTTAAGTCTAAAAATGAAATATGAAAATCAGGAACAAAATCGTAGAAAAACTGATTAGTATCTGAAGTAAGGAGCCCATGAAAGGAGAATAAAGGGAATGGAGCTTTTCCAAGGAGCTCAGGGTAGCATGTAACTCCAGCCTCCAGTGAGCCACCTGGTTGAGCAGAAATGAAAGTTTTAATTGGATACAAAGCAATGCATTTAGTATAACAGATTCCTTAAAACAATAAGGAGCAAGGGCCATGGTGTGTCACAGCCACCACCAGGGAGAGCAGATGAGGCAACCCGAATGCTCAACTGTGTTTCTACAGCAAAAAACACACCGACTATTTAGCATTCACCACTAATGCTGACACACAAACACTCAAAGGCTGCATCTGGAAGCAATGTATCACTGTAATTTTCTGAAAGAATCTCATCCAAGTGCATGCTCTGTTCCCCTCTTCTCCTCTAGTGAGGATGCCAACTGATGAGAAGGTTTTGCTTCCATTTTTAACTAACTGTAATTTAGCATTCTACTGACACCTATGCAAACTGGTTAGTCTCGATGTGGTTTACTGAAGCAGGCCAACTTCAAACATGATCTATGAGACGGGCTTGCTTCAATAAAGCATCCTTACGAGTAGTTTATGGTTAAGATATAATGATAAAGAACAGCCGTTGAAAATGGAAGCAAAAGCTTCTGATTCTTCCTTCAAGCCAGACCAGAAGGGAGGGAGTACACAAGTCCAAGTCTCATTCACATAACAATAAGCCACAATTTTTTATTATGTGTGATTTCAGTCAATCACTCTTTCTCACTGCATGAGAGAAAGGAGGAGCTGCAGATGCAGCAGCTATTATATGGGGTGTGTTCACCTGTCATGTCAAGTCATGGTGGGTTTGGAGCTCCCTCCCCCCCCCCCCCCAACACCTGCCGCGCTCCGCACCCCGGATCACCTGCCGTGCCACACTGTCACCGCCGCCGCCGGACCAGAGGCGCACCGCCGAGCCGGGGGCCAGCTGACGCCGCTCCCGTGGCCACCGCTGGGCCACCCCGGGCACGGAGGACGCCAGGGCCACGCCAGGGCCGTCGTCAACGGTGCGGAGGAGGGTGCCGCCATCTTGCTGCCGGGCAGGTTTCCACACCCCTCCCTGCTCCCCGCCCGCGTCAGTGAGGGAGACAGCCAAGGGGTGGTTGCCACCGTTTGTGGCCGTTCGTGGCCATGCAGGGCTGGGCTGGCGGGGGACTAGGTCGGTGGGGGGATTTTAATTTTGTATTGGGGGGGAATGGGGAGTTTTTGATTGTTTTAAAGTTTTATTGTATTTTAATTTGTTTTTATGGAGTTGTCCCTGGCCATGTCGACGGTTGAGTTTTCTGGGGAGCACGTGGGCACCGCCATTGGGGTGGTCACAGGCAATGGACAATACAGCGGTGGGGGCTTAACGTGTCCGCGTAGAAGGAGGAGGGACAGATGGCTGACACCTGTCCCTCCTTCTGGTTCTGCCCCCAGCCAGAGGGTTCCAGGTAGTCTTGTCAACCGCCCCTCGGGCCTGACGGTGCTGCTGCTCAATGCCAGGTTGGTCCACAATAAGTCTTCCCTCATCCATGACTTGATCGTGGATGAGGGGGCCAACCTGGCTTGCATAACGGAGACCTGGGCGGGAGAGGAGGGGGATGTCGCCCTTTCTCAAATGTGCCCGCCCGGGTATCTGGTTCAGCACCATTCACACCTGGAGGGGAGGGGAGGGGGGGTCGCTTTGGTTTACCAAGCCTCCACTTCCCTCATGGGACTTCCAGTCCCTTCGAGGCCAGGGCTGGAGTGCCTCTACTTGGTGTTGGGCGACCGAGACAGATTGGGGATTCTGTTGGTGTACCGTGCACCCTTCTGCCCAACAGTCTCCCTGCCTGAGCTGACGGAGATCGTCTCGGACCTGGTGTTGAGGACCCCCAGGATGTTGGTCCTGGGGGACTTCAATCTCCATGCCGAGACTGGTCTGACCGGGGCAGCTCAGGACTTCATGGCCTCCATGACGGCCATGGGGCTGTCTCAACATGTCACAGGCCCGACCCATGAAAGTGGACACACTCTGGACCTGGTTTTCTCGACGGGGCAGGAAGAGGGTGGTCTGAGGGTGAGGAATTTATGTCTGACACCCCTGTCATGGTCAGATCACTTCCTGGTGAGGTTTGTGCTTGAGAGCGGCCTCTCCCTCTGTAAGGGTGCGGACCCGATTGTGTGGGTCCACCCCCGGAGCCGGATGGATCCAGATGGATTCCTGAAGGCCCTGGGGGAGTTTCCGGCTGACAAGAATGGTGCTCCTGTCGAGGGTCTGGTCAAACTGTGGAACGGGGAGATGACCAGGGCTGTTGACACGATCGCTCCTAAGTGTGCTCTCCCGCCGGGCAGAGCCCATTCTTCCCCTTGGTATACACCTGAATTGCGGGCAATGAAGCAGGCCAGGAGACAGCTAGAGCGTAGGTGGAGGAGATCACGGGATGAATCTGACCGAACACACTTAAGAGCCCATTATCGGGCCTATGCTGTGGTGGTGAGGGCAGCGAAAAAGACATTCTTTTCCGTTTCCATTGCCTCCTCAAAATGCCGTCCAGTGGAGCTTTTTTGAGTGGTACAAGGCCTGGTTCGTCCAGGCCCTAAGAAAGATCTGGTTCCACCTTCGAAGGCCCGCTGTGACAAATTTGCCAAGCACTTCAGGGAGAAAATCGCTCAGATTCGTCACGAGCTAGACTCTACTAGTGATTCAGAGGTTTCTGGGGAGATACCAATGTCTCCGTCTGGTCCAAAATTAATGGATGAATTTCAGTTATAGCGGCCTGATGATGTGGACAAGGTGCTTGGACGAGTACGTCCCACCACTTGCCTATTGGACCCTTGCCCATCTTGGTTAATAAACAACGCCAAGCACGGGATTGGGATCTGGATCTTGGAAGTGGTTAATGCTTCTCTGAGGGAGGGTCAGGTACCTGCCCCTTTAAAGGAGGTGGTAGTCTGACCGGTCCTGAAGGAAGTGTCACTGGATCCAGAGATGGCCACTAATTATAGAACAGTGGCCAACATCCTGTTTCTGGGCAAGGTGTTGGAGCAGGTGGTGGCGGGACAACTCCAAGCACTCTTGGATGAAACTGATTATCTGGACCCATTTCAGTCCGGCTTCAGACCCGGGTACGGTACTGAATCTGCCTTGGTCGTCCTGTATGATGACCTGTGCAGGGAGAAGGACAGGGGGAGTGCGTCCCTGTTGGTTCTCCTGGCCCTCTCAGCAGCTTTCGATACCATCGACCATGGTATCCTTCTGGATAGGCTAGCGGGATTGGGGGTTGGAGGCACTGCTTTGCAGTGGTTCCGCTCCTATCTCAATGGCCGATTCCAGAAGGTGGTGCTTGGGGACTATGACTCTGCACCATGGCAGCTATGCCATGGAGTACCACAGGGATCCATTTTGTCCCCTTTGCTGTTTAACATCTACATGAAACCGCTGGGAGAGGTCATCAGGAGGTGTGGTCTGCGGAGTCATCAGTACGATGATGATACCCAGCTCTACCTCTCGTTCTCCACCAACCCGGGTGAGGCAGTGGCTGTGCTGCACCGGTGCCTGGCCGAGGTAATGGGATGGATGAGGGCCAATAAACTGAAGCTCAATCCAGACAAGACAGAGGTCCTGTTGGTTGGCGGATCGGGCTTCGGTGAGGGTGAACTGAACCTAGTCCTGAATGGGGTTGCACTCCCTCTTAGGGACAAGGTCCGCAGCTTGGGAGTGCTCATCGACCCAGAGCTTTCACTGGAAGCTCAGGTGACAGTGGAGGCGAGGAGCACTTTCCTTCAGCTTCGGCTGATCCATCAGCTGCGCCCCTACCTGGAGTACGACTGCCTGGAGACAGTGACACACGCGTTGGTGACTTCCCGACTTGACTTCTGTAACGCACTCTACGTGGGGCTACCCTTGAAGACGGTCCGGATACTTCAGTTGGTTCAAAATAGAGCTGCCAGGCTGCTGACGGGGACTGGGCGTTATGTTCACGACTCCAGTCCTCCGTCAGCTTCACTGGCTTCCCATTGAAGTCCGGGCCCAATTCAAGGTGTTGGTGATGACCTATAAAGCCCTAAATGGCTTGGGTCCTGGTTACCTGAAGGAGTGCTTACGTCCATATATGCCCGCCTGCCCCCTGAGAACTGCAGGAGAGGCCCTTCTCCGGGAACCCTCCGTGAAGGAATTTAGGAGGGCGAGTACTCGGAGGAGGGCTTTCTCTGCAGTGGCACCCAATCTATGGAATACGCTCCCCAGAGAGGTCCGCCTGGCACCGTTGTTATTTGTTTTTCGGCGCCAGGCGAAGAACTTTTTATTCAAATGTCATTTTAACTGTTAATAGTATTTATTTTATTCTTTGGCCAGGGCGACTTATTTTATACTGTTAATTTATATTATTTTAATCGAAGTTATTTATGTTTGTGAGCCGCCCCGAGGCTTCGGCAAATGGGGCAGCATAGAAATTGTCTAAATAAATAAATAAATAAATAAATCACTCTGGCAATAAACCACAGGGGTTTGGGTTTTGGCCAAACTACCCACAGTGCATCCACAGATGATGAACACTTGCTATGAGCCCTTCTTCTTCCTCTTGGTTCTCCCATGGGTATCCCTTAAGACACTGCAGAAGGATTATCCTGTCTCCTCACCAAGACTGCAAGCCGTTTTTGGCTCATCATGGCTTTTTTTGCATTTTACCCCCTTTCCTCCTGGAGATCATCATCTCACTTTGAAAGTCACTGACAGCCAATTCAAAATGCCTTGATGGCACTCTGGAGAGACTGTAAGATCCCACATTTTTCCCCACACAGGATGAAGGTAAATAGGTTCATCATCATCATCATCATCATCATCATCATCATCATTATTATTATTATTATTAAATCATATTTGTGAAGCTACAGAAGTTGGCTGTTGCACTAGCGCAGGAATTTGAAGCCTTGGATGAGACAATGTCCTGTGCCTGGGAAAAGGGCAATAGCATATCCCTCTTCTTTCCAGTGAAAAGAGTTTTGAGCACGAGCTGATGGCAAGGTTTCAGTTTTTTGACTGGGACATATATAACATATATCCCACTCAAAGGCACTCATTCGATTATCAAACCTCCACTTTTAAAGGGAAGCCAAAATTTGACAGCTACAAGTGTCCTCTTCTTAAGAAAAAGGGGAGACAAGCTTTTGCACTTTCCCAAGCAGTTGGAAACCAAAGAAAAACTGCAAAATAGCAGATTTTGCCACACATGGTGTAAATCACACCACATTCTTTTTGCAAGCAAAAATTTCTTATGCCTTTTTGTCTTCCTAACAGCTTGCCTTTTGACAGCTGTGCATAGGAAGTAAAAGAAAAAGGAACATATGTAGAGCCTCTTTGGGGCAATGTTTAGCATTGGTGTCTGCTCCACTCCGAAAAGAGCTATTTCCCAGGATATTGTCAAAGAAGAGGCTTCACATTTCTACAGGTGAACAAGTGGGGTTAAAAATATTTGAAACCCTCAGCATATTTGTGCACATTCTATGTGAAGGAAAAAAAAGTAGGAAAAACGGCCAACCACTGACAGTGCCTCCAAAGTGCTGCTTGGGTACTCTGAAGGGGCTGTCCTTACTGTCAAAACAGGAATCTTGATTCCCCCCCCCCCACCCCTTGTCAACAAAAGGGTAAAATACAACTAAGTCATGGTGAGGCGAAATCATCTCACAATCGTGATGGGGAGGGCAGCAAGTGCAGCCCCCTAGTGCTGCTTGTGCTCAGGAAATCTTGGCCAGATGCGAGGAGGAGGCTGCTCTGCCACACAAGGCAACAGCTGATCCCCATGATGGGTTCAGAAGGCAAAACAATCCATTGTGCACATAAGAATCACTAAGCAAACTATGGCTTGCTGCAGCTAGTAACTCACAATGGGTTGTCACATTGTTCAAGCCCAGTCACTGAGCTGAACTCTCCCCTCATAGAGCTACAATACGCTACAATGGCAACTGCCGGTTGCATGTCACAGGAGAAAGGAGAAGATCATGACTTTTCTAGCTAGCAGTTTATCCCAGGCAAGTGACATTACGTGACCTCACAAAGAAAACTTCCCAAGTTTTTGCAAGGGCTACACTGAGGGTGTAAGAGGACTCTCAGCTTTTATTGAAAGTCAACAGATTGCAAGAAAAGGGTCCTGCAGCACTGGAATACACCGCCTGGTAAAATATCAGTTATTCAGTACTAATACCTTTGGTAAATCCATGAAGCTTGGTCGAGCAGTGGAAATTAGTCCAAGTGTTTTTAAAGAACAGTTCACAAGCTGTGATAAGATATCACAGGCTGCTTCAGCTGATTCCTTGCTGCTGTCCACCTGAAATAGGAAAGAAACTGTCAATGAATGCAAATGCCAGTTTAAAAACAGAAAATTTTTAAAGCCATTTAAACTTTGAATTCTACCCTCCATGACCTTAAGAAAGGATTGAAATGACTAATTTTATTTCTGCTTTGAAACAATGAATGAGGAAAACTTCTTCATTTTAAATCACAGTGATTTTCAGGGTCAACTAAAGGAAGATGTATTCATTGCCACCTCTAAAAAGATGGAAGTGAGGTTGTTGACGTGCCAAACCAGTGCCAGGCTGCAACAACCAACTGGATGGGGATTGTTGGATGAAGCTCAGACCAGGCAAGGCTGAGAAGCTTTAGGACCTTGAAAGAGAATTGTAGCCAACTTTGCTGCCTGAGGTTCTGATGGCCTCAGTGGTACAGTGTGCCTTCTACCAGCTCTTATCTAGTGGTTCAGCTATGCCCCTAACCGGACAGAGATACCCTGGTTTCAGTAATCTACATACTGATAATCTCTAAACAAGATTACTGCAATGCATTCTAAGTGGGGCTGCCCTTGAAGACTGTTCAAAAGCTTTAGCTTGTACAAAATGCTGCAAACAGACTAATAATAGGGACCAGAAGATCCAAATATATAACATCATTTCTGGTTTGTTTGCACTGGCTGCCTATATGTGCTGCTTTTAACCTATAACCTACATGGCTTGGGACCACAATGGAACACTTCTCACTGATGCTATATACATGAATATCATAATCAAGTTTTGGAGCCTGCTTCTGTCTACCACCTGAGGGAGGCTCACTTGGTAGCAACAAGGAGGAGGGCCTTCATATTGGAAGCCCCAAAATTATGGTATGAGCTCTCCACTGAGAATCACCTAGCACCAATTCTACTCCCTTTCTGGTACCAGATTAAAAATGTTCTCTACAGCAGGACATATTTTTATTTTATCAGTATTATTAATATCCTGCCCTCATTTCCTCTTGTGACAAATTCAAGGCGGCTTGCATAGACCAATGTTATTTTCCAAACAGCAAACCTACTGGGCTGAGAGTCTGTTACTGGCTCAAAGTCACCCAGTGAGCTTCATGGCTGAATGAGGTGCAGAATCACCCAGGTACTCAGTCTTACACTCTAACCACTACAACACACTGGCTCATTTAATCGGCTCTAAATTGTATATTGGGTGTTGTCAGCTGTTTAGCAGGTTTTATGTTCTTATTTGTGGTACTTGTAGCAGCTTAAATCTTGTTCTAAATCTGGCTTCTAAAATTTTGTAGTGAAATTTTTATGATCATTTTACTGTTGTATTTTTATATTTCATTTTATTGTATTTACATGCTGCTGTGAACCATGAAGAGAACTTTGACTACTGGGGTAGAGAAACAAACAAACAACAGAATCTTTACTAATAGCCCTCAAGAGCCAACTGCAGACTTGCTGACATTAATGTTTTCTGAACAACTTACATGTTTCTTTGTAGTTAAGTTAGCACATATGGATTTACCCTGCAATTAATACTGTGTGAAATAGGACATAGGTTCATATCTACCACCAAATCATGGTTTGGAAACATATCAAGAATGAGTCATAAGCCCTCTGATCCCCCCTTTTTCTTGTGCATTCCAATTGCCATTGTGTTCAAATTGATAAACTATGTTTTATTCTTGCCTCCAAATCATGATGGTAAATATGGTTTGATTACTGTTTGGGTTTGGAGCCCAAGATTCATTTATATAATCCCAAACTATTTTAGTTTTAAGTATAAATTTAAAAATCACATCTGTCTGCTGAATGTTGACTGTCATGCTTTCACAACCTACTTATTATCAATCACTTGTTTGTAGTCATGCTCAGACATGATTCGCAACATTATAATTAAGACTCAACCAATTTTAGAAATTTTAGTTGAGCAATCATCCAGCTTTAAACAGATGAATCAAATGAATCTATTTAAGTAAGTTTGCACAGCAACAAAATTCACAATACAGATACCTGGGATGCTAATAAAATGAAATCCAATTTAACAACTAAAAACTTGTAAGGAAAAGTTATCTTCAAATACTCTTTTTTCTATTCCTCATTCCTGGAATATACCAGAACTACAAGAGCTTCAAAAAAGAAACATGCCCTTACTTCATCAGCCAAGTGATCAATCCACTAAAGCATCCATTGATTAACCTACTAATTTTATGAATTAAAACTTGTTACCCCCTTACAGTGTATTTCCTGGAACACCTCATGAGCAAATCTCAAAAATAGGGTTGCATATGTTTTGTGATGCAATACAGTTAATTTTTATAAAACACAATTAAATAATAAAAAACCTTTGTGCTATTTACAGAACAATCCTATGTTACCTAAGAGAGCATCCCAGGGGAATGCCAGCTCCCATATCACATGGTTATAATCCATCTTATAAATCTTGTGAGGGAAAACTCAACTTCAGGTTACTTCGCACCCCCTTGCAGCCACCATGGACAGTTCCTCAGTGGCTGCTGCAATGAGAGGACAATGACTGCCATAATCCTAAGAGTGGTCAAGAAGGCTGGGCGGTGAATAGTCCAGGGCGGTGAATAGTCCAGGAATCACAGGATTCTAAAATTTCTAAGGCAAAATCACCGCCACAGAAAGCTTGTTTAACTGTAATGTGCAATTTTACAGAGGATAACTGATGTAGGATAAACGAAAGGACCCAATTTTACATTATCAGGATTTTAGAAAACTAAATTCAGGTCATCATTTTACTAATTAACTCTCTATTGTTAGAAACAATTTCTGTATCAATCTAAAAGTAAGGTCAAAATGGCCTCTGAGAAAGCCATGCAAATAAAATGTCTGATGGAAATTATTAAACATATTATTTGCAGTAAAAATACCTTTACTGTTCAAATAAAATATATAGATTCAGATAAGCAATCAGGGTAAACAATATTTCATAATGTAAAGCTAGACACAAACAGTATGCACGTCTAACTGATCCATATTTTAATATAAAAATTGTTCTATTTACATTCCTGTAACATAACTGTAATCGTTGTGCATTATCAGTAAAACATCTTGCAACCATAACACACACCACCAGAGCAACTATGTACTATCATATGATGCTGCAAAATATGTAGAACAGGCAAACTCTTACACAAAGCACATTCTTGCTGTATTTTTCTGTCATTCTATCAGCAGCATACATATACTCCTTTTTTAGACATCTTCTTTTGATGGCACCAATTCTTCATCAATTTAACAAACATCTACCACAGCTTGTGCACAAAAGCAGGTCTGTAGTAAACTGAAGATTTAATTTGAGGACTCTGATTTTTTTTAAAAGAAAACAAACACAGAAAGTAACCACAGAAGGTAACACAGTTTATGAACATCTTTCTGTAAACAGAATGAAGTTGTCATCCACAGGCCTTTAACTGAGAACTGCCATTCAAACTGATCAAGAGCTTGCAAACTTTTTCAATTTATTCTTTTTGAAACTTGCCTGTCCTCAAAAGTCAGAACAGTATGTTTTGCTGAAAATGATAGCTATAATTTAAAAAATTCTACTGGGTCAAAAGCAAATTTCTAACTGCAGCAAAATATTTTGAATTTCACATTTGTAGAATGGTTTTAAACCTGTGGGATACTACAGACTGTTGATACTATATGTGGCTGTGTTAAGTGAAGTGAGTAATTTAGCTGTCTAACTACTTGATGTGGTGATCAAGATTGTGGAGCCCTGCCTGGTGTGACCTTGTTGCATATGCATAGTCTTCTCAATTCCACAGTTATCCAAACACTGTGTTCAATGACACAGGTTCATAAAATTCCTCCTTACATACAGGTGCATCTTTCTGAATCTGACATAATATCTTAAGACATCCCATTAATTCCTCTTAGGAATTCTTCTCATTGAGAAGGAATGCAAAACACCAAGAAAGCACATCTCATCAGGACCCTTTCCTAAGAAACAAAACGTGACTGTTTGGGAATAAACCATGGTTTACACAAGGGAATGCCCTCAATATCTCTTATCAGTTTAACTCAAATATAAACTATTATGTAGTAATGTAGTAAAAGATTTAGCAGACAGTAGTTGCTTTGAAAGCAAACTTACTCTGTGAGTCTGGCAACATGGACAATAAAAAAGGAAGTTAGTCATTAATAAATTATTCCCAGGAAATGCCAACTATGATCTGGCTGTATGCCAGTAGTCCATTTCCACACACAGAAACTGTTAATTATCTTCAATCACTTATTGAGGTTTAGGAATTTTTCAATAGCATCTCCATGAATTAACAGAAAAAATAGCATTCCAAATTCATTGCCTGGAACCTAGCATTCATTTCATGACCGAAAAGGGCTTCCCAATCTCATGTTTCCTGGGGCAGACTTTGCCTGATCCCCCACAACAGCACCTCTCCAGAACAGCATGTCAGAGGAAAAAGGGATAAATAGGCAAAAAGCAGAAATGCACAACCACCAGTGACGTTGGGGCAAAATATTTCCACTAAACATTTTTTTCCATTTCAAATGTTCATTAGGAAAAAATGTATGCCTATCACAAGTAGAATATTAGGTGAACTTCACACTTTCAAGGTTCTAATTATTCTTCAGGTGACTACTTTAGCAAGCATGTCAAACTGTGCGTGTGTGCGTGCATGTGTGTGTGTCTGCGTAAAATGGAACCAGTAAATGGCAACAGAGAAACTAAAGATGCCCTGACAACCTTAATGAAAGGGAGGTGAACTTTCCTGAATTAGGTAACTGTAAGCATATATGTGCACTGTGCTTTGGTTTGTTAAAAAGTATTAATGTACTTTCTCCTGGGAGGGCTTGCACAACATGCTAAGCCATCCTCTGAATAAGCCATGAAACAACTTACAGCATACCCAACAGACACTGGGCTCTCCATGGGTTGTTCCCCCCTTCTCTCCCCATCAGTCCTCCAGCTAGTAACCCAGTGTCCTTCAAGACAGAACCCTCCCAACTCTAATCTCACACTCTTTCATTAACTGCAGGTTCTTTATCTTTCAGAGCCTCAAAAATATACAACTAGTTGGTATTTAATTTAGCTTGTCATCTTCAAAAAAAAAATAGCCCTAGAATTACGCACAAATGTCTTCATAATTTAGAGGAAGAGCTAGTCTTTCAGAGTTTTAAGTTTACAGTTGTACGATATACATAATCCTGCCTGGCTGATGAACATTTAAGCTGGTGTCATAGACAGGTGTCACAGACAGCTAACGCCATGGGGGCAATTAACAAGACAAGACTGTATATAGAATAATTTGTACACAGTTGCTGAGTTGTCAATTGGAAATCACCAGAAAAAAAGTGGAAGAAGTTGATGAATCACGAAGAAGGCAGTAGGATCTCCAATTAAAAAATGAAAATGTGCATAATTCTCATGCGCATTTTTTTAAATAAAATGAAATGGGCAGTGAACCAGCGACAGCTGCTCCAATGTGCACCTTAGGCCCTTTGAAGGGGTTCTCACTTTGGATATTGCAACAAGTGGTATCTGGGGGAAAAGAGTTCAAGGGAAAGGGGGAAAGGCTATGGTCATAGTATCAGCAGAGATAGGAGAAAAGATAGGCCTACTGTTGAGTATGCTGTAATACAAACTGGAACACCAAGGGAAAAGTAGGGGAGACATCCCACAGTGAACCTGATCATCTGTTTGGAACCCCATGGGTAGTTCCACACCCTTAATCCATACTATATTGCTTACTTGCAGGGTTACTTGTCAAATCATAGGAATAAAACCTATGTTTTCATTCTACAAATGTAACTGCATTAGTGCTTTGCCAAAAAAAAAAAAAAAACCAAACAAACAAACTACCATATCACTATACTGAAACAGCAATAGTAATTTGAAATTTCTGCAGGGAGTACTTCTTTCCTGCATGCCTCCTCTTGTTACTAACCCAAATCCTATTATAACATAGTCTTTGTTTTATTTTCTTCTTTTATTTTAATCTGCCCAGTAACAACCAAAGAATAAAAATGGCACATCATTTTTCAAGACTGATTTTTACTGACATGGAAGAATTTGTTTTTACAGGTAGGGCAAACAAGATGGCTTCTGTTTAACATACTTCATATTTTAAAATCATATATACATAACATATTCAAATGTTTTCACAAAAACTACAACTTCAATTCTGGATTCAGACATTATCTCAGTTCTCTTAGCTTTTATTTCTACAAAAATAGTTTAATCTTACAATACTTTTCAGTTTTTCTTTCAGATACCAAAGGATTGATGTGTAGGTTCAGGATAAGATTCATTTTACTTTGCTTTAACATGTAAATATGTAAGCCTTCTCACTATAAGAGGTACTACCAAAATTCAGTTTAGAAACTTTCACAAATATATTGTGCTTTTTTCATTTTCCTTATAAACACCAACCAGCTGCTCAGGCCAGGGCAACAGATTTAATTCTTGTTCACCAAGCAGCTATTGCTGTATTTGTCCAGGACTGCAAAGTATGTAAAGCTGAAACAGGGCCAGCAATTTATGGAGCATATGACCTCCTTTTCCTAAAAAAAATTAAAGTAGTTACCTTGAAGCTGACATACTGCAGATGATTGGAATGCCTCTTGATAATCTGTTTGATGAGCTCTGGATGAGTAGCCTTTAAGTAAGATGTGGCAGGCTGATTCAGTTCAAACTCAAAACATCTCCACAGTTCAGGCATGTGGAACACTTGGTTCCACCTCCGACAGACTTGTGATGCATGAGCACGATCAAGGAGAGGCAAACACTGGAACACCTGTAGAACAATCTCCGGGATGAGGTTCCCCCAGTCAGGGCTCTGAAATACTCCTGCTGATTCCTCAACTCTGGTTTTCAGTTTTTTTCCATCTACTGTATTGTCCTCATCTGATAAATGATTGCTGGCCTTGCTGTTTTTTCGTCCTCGTTTCATTCTATCAAGATAAAAATTTCAAAATGATTAAGACATTTAATATTAATTAAATGAAATAATATAATTAAGTCATTTCATATTAACAGATGTTTAAAAAGAAAATGCTAGTCTGTACCTAGAGTTTATATAAAATACCATTATTAGCTACTTGTTTGGAACATTGCGGTAGGCTCAGTCCCTCTAAAATTAATGGGAAATGAGTTATATTTAGATTGTAACACTATGTTTTAAATTTTTCTTAATTTTTGTTAATTGCTCAGAGTCTTAACTATTGGGCACTATAAAAAGAATTAAATAATTCTGCAAGATGAACAGCATTTTCAGAAGATGTTCTCCCATACTAAATATGCAACCTAGATTCAATTTTTATAACACTACAGGCAATAAGCAATTCTTCCGCTGTAGTTCTGCTCATTCAGTAATTCCAAAACCAATGTTAGCATAACAGGAAGCTAGGATTTCCTAAACAAGCTCAAATGGTAGTATCCTATTGCTTTAGCATGTACTAGCTTCCTACTGCACTGCCGGAAGGTCCCACTGGTACATGAGCAGTGCTGGAAAGTCTTGTGCTATGAAAGAAGATTTGCAAAATTACTATGTTGGTTTTGAAAGTTTTAAAAATATTATGACAGGCATGCATAAATATATTATTTGCAAATAACATATAATGATACTGCCAAATCATATTGTTACAGAAGCTCCTCTGGCAAGATGGACAGCAATAAAAATGGTACAACAACAAAGGTGATAGCGTATTTTTGATCCTCCAAATTAAGATGCAGTGAACAAATAGGTTTCCTATATTTTCCCTTGCAGTAGTTCAGAATATAGATATCCAGGTGAAATGAATTAGACAAATTATTTTATATTAAAGTCATCATACTGTGGTTGCAGTTGCCTGAAATGGTAGTAAATGGTTATGCTTTATTATTCCTAAAGACTTCTGAGCCAGCAAATAACTGCTTAGGGAGGGTCACAGCTATTTGCTGGCACAGAAACTATTATGTTCAGACTACAAGAATGCCAGATTAAAAAAAGTCTTTACACTTTCATGCTTAGTTCAGTTATAATAAATCCATATAAACATTAACATTATACTTAACTTCTTTGGACTCCTGTCATTTCCAGACTCCTAGTTATTTAGGGCATAACCAAAATAATTACTCACCATACAGTCATAAGAGCAATTACACTAATCAGTTGATTAAAGAGAAATAAACTAGCCCATAATGTTTTGAATGCATGTATACCATTATTGCCAAAGAGAGGCAATCTGTTCATCATTGTTTACTTTATGCAAGTTTGTTAGATCTAAATGAATCAAACAGGTACTGATTTGACTTTTTAATTACTTTCAGGTGTACACACTGACAACAGAGAACAAATATCATTTTTAAAGGATTAAAAAGACAGCTGTAAAAGCCAAACAAAAACAAACCTGACTGCTGCAATGTTTAATTCCCAATATATTTCTGTTCTATTGCAAGAAGCCTTCAGGGCAACTGAAATGTATTATACAAAAAAAATAAAATAAAAATAAAAGCTAATTTGCAATGGGAATTAAACACTGCAACCATGCTGCTTTTTTTTGAGAGAGAAAAAAATTATTGGGACATAGCAAAGGGCTGCATCACCTTGGCTAACATAGGACCCCAGAGCAATAAAAAACTGAAGCACTAGATGACATTATGAGTTATGCAAGTTTACCACATCATACTAAGTTCTCCAAATCAACATACTGTGTTGGGCAACTACAGAAATACCTCTACTGCGCAGCAAGTTATTCAGCGACCTGAAAGCACACAGGCAACTAAAGAGGTTCTTTGGACAAGCCCCTATGTTTATACCCAAATATTTCTGAAACTGTAACAGTAATCAAACTAATTCACAAGCTTTAAAGGAAGCACCCCAAAATACGGGCAATACAGACTGTCCGGGACGGCCTTATAGGGCGGGCTATACGAGACGTTTCGGCCTACAACTCCCATGAGCCTTCATCGCTGCCTCTGCGGCCAGGGCGGGTGGGCGCTGCGAGGCCACAACACCCCCGTCGCGCCGCGCCCGAGGGAAAGTAAAGCCGGTGCAGGCGGCGGGAGGAACAGCCGCGCCCCCAGCCCTGCCGCGGCCTTCCCCAACCTGGTGCCCGCCAGGGAGGCCTTCACTACGGCGACCGGCCAGCCTGACCGAGGGGGAGAGGCGGGCTGGCGCCGCTGCGCGAAACATCTGGAGGCACGTCTGGCTCGCGGGGGCGGGAGCAGCAAAACGCGGGGGCCCGAGCAGAGGCCTCCTCCTCCTCCTCACCGGTACCTCCGCCCCCTCTCCGTCGCGGAGCTGCCGCGGAGGGCAAGCTGGAAGGGAAGCCCCGTAACCCACTCACTTGGCGGCGGCAGCGGCCACAGACGCGTCCGTCCTGCGCTCCCCTCAGCCTGGCCCTGGGCTGCGTTGCCTCCTCGGATGCCGCCTCATCAGTGGCCTCGTCCGGCCCGGCGAAGGCCTCGGAGGGAGGCGGGCAAGCAAACAAGCAACCGCCCTCCTCGCTCCGACTGACGGCCAGCCCCCCCCAGTGACGCCCAGCGCCGCAGCAACAATTGTGATTAAATTCCGGCCGAGCAAAGGCAGCGCGCACCGCTCTCCGCGCCGCGGTCGCCTCTTCCCGCCGACTCGGGCATCACCGCGGAGGCAGATGCGCTACCGAGAGACCGAGGAGCCAAAATGGCGGTCGACGCTCTGTCGCGGCGGTTGAGCCGACGCGCGTGGCGCATGCGCGAGCGGCCCGTTGTCTCCGCAGCCGCGGGCTCGCGCTCCCTCCCGCGGAGGTGCGTAAGTGCAGACGGGCGGTTCGCTCGTTTCCGGCCGAATTTCCGGGTTGCTTTCGGCGCTACCGCTGGCGCTTCCCGCAGCCGCGTTTGGTGTTCCGCAGCCTGATGGGGCAGGTGTCGGTTTGCATCGGGCAAGGCGCAGAAGACGGCCCATAGCCCCTTTCGGAGGAGGAGGAAGAGGAGTGTTGTTGTTGTTGTTATGTTGCATTTATATCCCGCCTTTCTTCTTATAAGGAACCCAAGGCGGCTGTTCCTACCTCACAACAACAACCATGTGAGGGAGGTTAGGCTGGAAGATGGAAGCCCAAAGTCAGTCATCCAGCGCACTTTATGTCTGAGTAGGAACTAGAACTCAGATATGAGTCCCAGTCCAGCACTTTTGAGCAGCACTTTTTATGTTTTCTGATAAACATTATTTTATTGGAAATATTTGTATTTGTCTCAAGATACCAGGGTACTAAATCAAATGTAGTACAGTATCCCAACACAATAAACAAAATGTCAACTATGTAAGTACGGGAAGCTGTGGCCTTCCAGATGCTGTTGGACTACAACTCCCATTGCCAGTGATCACTTACTACACTGGCTGTGACTGATGGGCATCTGAGTCCAACGTCTAGATGGTGCATAAAGCAGTGTGCTGTAGTGGGTAGGCTGCTCACCTGGGATTCGGAATTTTTGTCCTCACTCAGCCATGAAGCACTTCAACTGGACTCCAACTGGACTCCCAGGGCTCAGCTTTGGCTACCTTTCAACCCATCTACCTTGCAGGGTCGTTTCTGCAAAATTAAATGGAAAGGAGAACTTGCCAGATGGGATATACTTGTAAGAACATGCCAGTTTAAAGTGGTTTTGTCCACAGAAAGGACAAAAACCTCAACTGATTTGTGAAGAGTAAGATCAATTTTATGCAAGTATTCTGAGAAAAACAACAATGACGAAAATATGCACAGCCTCTTTTAACATTATTCACAGGTTCTATACATATTTTAGGATTGTTGTCCCTGAACATAGACTTCTAGTATACATTTTAAGCTTAAATTACCATGTTCCAATTTTTTTTGCTTTGCTAGTAAATTATACCCTTCCAAACATAGCACTGTACAATTGGTGCATCTTGGTTTTCAGTCTCAGTGTTAATGTATGTAATGAAGGAGAAACATGTTTTTAAGAATGACTCTTGCACGATTATTCCTCTGATCAATCAGTTATGTAAGTGTCACTTCCCAGTGCGAGATTCAAAACTCTGTAAGACAATATCTGGGTAGGTACAAGCAGATTTATTGAAGCGTTTGCAAAGGCTGGCTCAGAGTCTCAGTCGCCTGAGGAACAAAGAGCAATTATCACAAACGTTCATGAGATTATATACATTCCTTTTCCACGACCCTCCGCACTAGCCCTGCTTCACCAGCGGCTGGTTACTGTTAGGCTTGCCCCACCTGGTACTAAAGCTAGTATAACAGAATGTTATCAGCTGTGTACTAAAGTTAGCATAATAGGAGGCTTTGTGTATTGAGTTAGCATAATAGGAGGCTTTGTGTATTAGATAAGCATAACTGCAAACCGCTTGCTTCTGTATCAAAAGGTAGGCTAACCGCAAACCATCTCGCTTCTGTATCATGCTAGCTCGCTTAGGATGCCAATAACAATTTTCCATTTGATTGTAGCAAGGTATAAAAATCCCACTGCCCCTCTAGAGGGGGTGCAGCACTCATCCCATTCTTGTGTGGGAGTGCTGGCCCCTGCGCAGGTAAATAAACTCCTCTTAAAAATACCAACTGGTCTCTGGTCTCATCTGTAAAACCGTGGGACACAACAGTTACTATCGGGTGAACCGTCTTCTCGTAACACCTCTTCCCCAAATGGGCCTCTGCCACTTAATCCAACCCAATTCTTCCACCCTTGCTGCCTTATCTTATCTTTTCCTGTTTCCCTTCCTTCTCTCAGCAGGATGGGTGCCTGTACATTTAGTGGCAAATGGCGTCTTACTATGGAATGTCTGTGCTTCTGCTAGTTTTAAAAAGATGCTATTCTTACTCTGTTTCTCACAATCCCCCCTTTTTCTTTTCAACCTCTTTTATCTTTTTAAACTGTATTTCCACCTGTTCTAGTAATTGTTCATTGTCTTGTCTGTTCCATTCTTCAAGGCTTAGGAGCATCGCCTGCTCCTTTTAACAGGGCCCAGTCCTTAGTTAGGGCATCTGATTCTCTTAGGGTCTCATAAAAGGAGTTAAATATTTTATGGGTCTGGGTTCGTGTCCAGTTTACCACTCTTATAGTTAAGAGACTGGTGGGATCCTCCCCAGTTCTGTCAATTGCAAACCCAAAGTGCCGCGTTATCTCTCGTGCTTTCTGGGCCACTTCAAGCTGGGATGGGGTGATTTGTAGAATTACTGGGTTGCATGTAAAAAGGGAACATTGCCTAGGTGCCTGGCCCCTAAACAGTGTTAGGATCTTTCCCTGCATCTCTCCATAATTACTGGTGCTCCAGCTGACACAACTCCATCCTGAGCATTCCTGGGGACTGTAACAGGGCGATCCCCTTGTAAAGGAATAAGAGGATCGATAAATATCAGAAGGTTTTTCTTTGCACAAATACTTATGGTTATTCGCATAGGCTTTCACCCAGTTAATGCTACCACATGAGGATTGGACTATATTCAGTCCCAGCACATAACAAGCGTCAAAAGTCAGGTTAACGGATCGGTGCATATCATGCACCTGGACTGAAGTTATAAGTTTCTCATCTCCTTCCATTTCTCATCGCTACTGCTGACCTAAGTTCTAAATACGTCTTGTAAGGTGGTACCTTTGGATCGTAACAGATAGTCTCTCCCTTCGTTGTTTTACACTGGGAGTAAGTGACCCCTTTGTATTGACACTTTCCCACAGGGTTTTTGCACATATATTCAGTATGATATACCAGCATTTGGTTAACCTGGTTACGATATTTTGTTTGCTTAATGCAACGGGTGCAATTCCCCGCTGTAGGTTGATTTCCCTCTGTCCTTTCCACGTCCAGGAGGATGAAACACCATAATACAATTTTCATCCATACTTTATCCATCCCTTCTCTTCCTCTGGACTGGAGCGGAACTGAGTTCAGGTTGCTCTGGGGTGGTAGGGTTAACATGTTCGAGGACCAGGTTCTCTTCACCTAGCCAATCCCCTAGTGCCGTCCCCCTTTATTCCCCTTTCTTCGTCTTCTAGAGGATTATTCCTAGCCCTGGCTTCCTTCGATTTTCCCTCGAAGTATTCAGGGTATATATCCTCTATTATTACAATGTCACACCTTTCTCTGCAATCCCTATGTAAGGGGAGGCAGTCCAGACAGTGACTACAACAACACTCAGCTGTACACTCACAGTCACAGAACCAACACACCAGGTATCAGTCCCAGTGGAATTTCTTCAGGCTTTCTCTTTGCTTTCGGATGACACGGTATCTGTGACCATTCACCTCGAAATATATACAAGGAAAAACATATTACCATACACAAAACCCCCACTGCCCACCCCCACCCTTCAGTTTCCATGAATCTGGAGGGGCGTGTGCCCTCCACTGAACAGGTTCGGGTACCGGTCCTTTAACTCGGGCGTAATGAGTCCAGCCCTTTTCCCTTGTTCGAATGGCTGCCTTGGTTATTAAGATGACTTGGTAAGGACCTTCCCACACAGGCTGTAACTTCTCCTCCTTCCACCCTTTCACCAGGACCCAATCTCCTGATTTGAACGGAGGCACTTAAATGTCCAGGGGAGGCGTTTGGGCTAGGAGTCCTTTTGACCTTAAATACAGAAAAGACCTGGATAGTTTGTGCACATATTTTCTCACCACCTTATCTCTTAATTCAATCCTGGGCAGCCCCAATTTCACTTAGTAGGGTATTCCAAATAGCATCTCATAGGGAGAGATCCCAATGTCCCTCCTAGGTTTAGTTCTTATTCTTAATAAGGCTCGAGGCAGGCACTTGGTCCAGGGCAATTTCAGTTCCAACATTAGTTTCTTTAATTGCTGCTTTAGGGTCTGACTTGTCCCAGTTCCTTCATCCTGGCTACTTCAGCCTCATGATACTTATAAAAAGGAACTTCAACCAAGGGGATCAAGTTCAGTATTGATAGTGGAGCCTCAGCTTCTTCAATAGAAGCCCTCTTTGCTTCCAAGCCTGCCAGTCTATTTCATCTCGTTTCCTCACCATTCCCAGTCTGATCTCCCTTCACATGAATAATTGCCCATTGTTTTGGCAGAGCCCATTTTTACAGCACTTGCACCGACATCTCATGCACCAAAACTTTTCCTCTACTCATGATCAAACTCCTTTCCTGCCAAATTTTCCCAAAGGCATGTGCTAGCCCAAATGCATCCCAATGCCCCATCCGTTTTTAGAAATTGATCTACAAGAGCCTTCGCTCCCCAAAGGCTCCTTTCATGGAGTCTCTGGATTACTTGCCTAGCTAGTCCCTTTGATAGCCATTCTCAGCCATCAGATATTACCCATCTTCCAGAGTCTAGATTCTTCTCTGTTCCCAGTTCCTTCCCACAATTTCAGGGCTCACTTCAGAGCCCATAACTCACGAATTTGGGCTGACCAGGAGGAGGACAGTCTCCCACAATCCCCCACCTGGTTCCCTTTTATTTCTTTGTATCCATGATGCCTTTCCCCTTACTCTAGTTTCTAGATCCACTGATTCCACACAATCATGCTCTTACTCCAAGTTGCAACTGCCTCCTATCAAGAAATCTACAGGATTCACACCTCCTCAGGTGTGAAAATCAAATCTAGTTGATTCATCAATACAGCCTCATACTTATAAGTCAGGAGTCAGTTAGCCACCTTCCAGCCCTGGTGGCTAACAGAGCTTGCACTGGGGGTGCTGCTGTTACCACCAAAGCTTCCCCAATAGCTAACTTCTTGAC